CATAATATGGTTATAAAACCATAAGTATATAAAATATCAACACTTTGAAAAAGATAACTTAAAAACAACTCAAAGCATAGCACAATCAAATGTTTCTTACTTTTTATTACTTGTATATCCATTAAAATTAAACTTGTGTAGCATAACCCTCATGGAAAGCTTCTCAACAACAGTCTGATCTTCTGAACATGACAAAGGCAAGTGGAAATTCTGACATTAGTCATTAATATTTAAAACAAGAAAGAATGGAGCTTTTTCAAAAAAAGTGTACAAACATTTTAAATCATATCCGTAAAGTTTCTACTTCATAAAAATACAGCACTGCTTTAGATTAACAAAAGGTTACAAAAACACATCAAGCCATGCATCAGTCCTTCTCTTAAAGACTGCAATGAACTAACAGGTCATTTTTGGGTTTCCAGACATTCACAGCTACAGTAAGTACAGAAATGCCTCTTTGTCCTAGATACAAATACACCCATTCTTAATTTCTCATGGCCATGAATGTTTGGAGCTCAAATTAACAGTTAAAATTGACCTTGAAAATATACTTTCTGAGATTTGGATCATGTCTCCACAAAGTCTTTTCTTCTCAAAACTAAAGTATTATAATAATGAATAATAATTGCTTACACTTGTATAGTGCTATTCTGGACACTCCACTCAAAGCGCTTTACAGGTAATGGGGACTCCCCTCCAACACCCACCTGGATGATCACACACAGTAATAGTACACCAGAACACGTGTGCACCACAACATATCAGCTATCAGTGGGGAGGAGACCAGAGTAATGAAGCCAAATCATAGATGGGGATTATTAGGAGGCCATGATTGGTAAGGGCCAATGGGAAATTTGGCCAGGAAACTGAGGTTACACCCCCCCACCCTTTTTCGCTAAATGCCCTGGGATTTTTAATGACCACAGAGAGTCAGGACCTTGTTTTTACGTCTCATCCATCACTATACTGGGGCATTAGGACCCACATGGACCACAGGGTGAGCGCCCCCTGCTGGCCCCACTGACACCTCTTCCAGCAGCAACCTTAAGTTTTACCCAGGAGGTCTCCCATCCAGGTACTG